TGAGGAAATGCTCACGACCATTAGCCGTTAGAGAAATGCAAATCAAAACTCAATGAGATACCATCTCACCCCAACAAGGCTAGCATTAATCCAAAAAACACAAAATAATAAATGTTGGAGAAGTTGTGGAGAGACTGGAACACTTATGCAGTGTTGGTGGGAATGGAAAATGGTACAACCACTTTGGAAATCAATCTGGCGCTTCCTTTCAAAGCTAGAAATAGAAGCACCATACAATCCAGCAATCCCACTCCTTGAAATATAGAGAATTAAGAGCCATCACACAAATAGATATATGCATACCCATATTCATTGCACCACTGTTCACGATAGCACAAAGATGGAAACAACTGAGGTGTCCATCAACAGACGAATGGATAAACAAATTATGGTATATTCACACAGTTGAATATTACACAATGATAAAGAACAAAGATGAATCAGTGAAACATCTTATAACATGGAGGAATCTGGAAGGTATTATGCTGAGTGAATTTAGTCACATAAGTACAAATATAGTATAAAAACACTACTATAATAAGAACTCAAGAAAAGGTTTAAACAGAGAAGAAAACATTATTTGATGGTTACCAGGGTGGGGAGGGAGGGAGACAGGTATTCATTAAATGGAAAGTAGACAAGAATGATCTTAGGTGAAGGGAAGGACAGCACACACTACAGGGGAAGTCAGCACAACTGGACTAAACCATAGCTCAGAAGTTTCCTCAATACAACCAAACACTTCGAGGGACAGAGTAGCAGGGGCCGAGGTCTGCGGACCATGCTTTTAGGGGACATCTAGGTCAACTGGCATAACAAAGTTTATTGGGAAAATGTTGTGCATTCTACTTTGATGAGTGGCATCTGGGGTCTTAAAAGCTAGTGAGCGGCCATCTAAGATGCGTCAATTGGTCCCAATCCACCTGGAGTAAAGGAGAATGAAGACCACCAAAGTCACAAGGAAGGTATTAGCCCAAGAGACAGATAGGGCCACATAAACTAGAGACTGCATCAGCCTGAGACCAGCGGAACTGGATGGTGCCCGGATACCACCAATGATGGCCCTGTCAGGGAACACAACAGAGAGTCCCTGATGGAGCAGGAGAAAGGTGGGGTGCAGAACTCAAATTCTAGTAAAAAGACCAGACTTAATGGTCTGACCGAGACTGAAGGAACCCCAGAAAGCACGGCCCCTGGACTCTCTGTCAAGCCAGAACTAAAACCATTCCCGAGGACAACTCTTCAGACAAAGATTAGACTGGACTATGTGACATAAAATGATACTTGTGAAGAGTGTGCCTCTTAGCTCAGGCAGATAAATAAGATGGGCAGCTCCTGTCCAGAGATGAGATGAGAAGGCAGACAGGGTCAGGAGCTGGTTGAATGGACATGGGAAATCTGGGGTAGAAAGTACGAATGTGGTGTCAGTACAGGGAGAGCAATTAGGGTCACATAACAATGTATGTACAAATTTTTGTATTAAAGACTAACTTGAATTGTAAACTTTCACTTAAAGTACAACAATAAAATAAAATTTAAAAAAATGTATTTCTTCTTTATTACCCATTGTGGTCGGTTGTACCATCTTGTACCCTCTCATCCAAGTCATAAATGTAGGTGTCATTCTTAACTCCTCTTTCTTCAATCCCAACATCCAATCAGTGACCAAGTCCTGTAATTCTTTTCTTTTCTTTTTTTCTCTTCATCTCCACTCCTACCAGCCCACTCTAAGCCCCTATGTTCTGGCCTTTTATAATAGTCTAATTGTTCTCCTTGCCTCCTGTAGTATTATGCCTCTCTAATTCATTCTTCACATGATCATGTGGTTTTTCTCAAAAACAAATCATATGTCTCCTTTTCTTACAATTCCTTAATGTCTTTCCATCTCCCATCATAGGATAAAATCTTACTGCTTTGTATGAGTTACAGCAGGAATTAAAGGACACTTTCAAGCTAGGATAATTTGATGAGTTTGCTAAAGGAAATATTATAAAGGTGTGGCAGGGTGTAGGGTATCATCATAAAGAAGTGTACATAACCAGGGAAAGGTGTACTTCATTACTATGACTAGGCCTAAAGGAGCCAAGGAAGGGAGTGATTACCAGAAACTGGAGACAGAGAGGGTTGCTTCTTGTTCTCAGGCTACTTTATTGATTCCAAGCCCCTTTTTGTAACTTACTCACTTGCCGTGGTTCTCCTCCTACTCCCCTGACCCATATTTTGCTGTTTTGATATTTTGCTCTGGCCTCAAATAAAATCCATTGTCATCAAGTTGATTCTGACTCATAGCGACTGTATAGGACAGAGTGGAACTGCCCCATTGGGTTTCCAAGACTATAAATCTTTATGGAAGCAGACTGCCACATCTTTCTCCTGCAGAGCAGCTGGTAGGTTCGAACTGCCAATCTTTTGGTTAGCAGAGGAGCACTTAGCCACTGCGCCACCATACGCTCATAATTTTCTAATCTGTATCTACCTCGGAGCCCTGGTGATGCAGTGGTTAAGAGCTCAGCTGCTAACCAAAAGGTTAGCCGTTTGAATCCACCAGCCTCTCTTTGAACACTATGGGCAGTTCTACTCTGCCCTGTAGAGTTGCTATGAGTCGGAATCGACTCCACAGCAGTGGGTTTGGTGTTACCTCAAGTTTCTCAATTGCCTTAATATGAATATATGGATATCCCAGAGGCTCTTCACACTCAACATGTCCGTAATGGAACACATTATCCTTCTAAAATTCCCGTTATTAGGAAATAGTACTACCATATATCCAGTCAACAAAGCCAGAGACCTGGTATTGGCATGCTGGAAAAAATCTATTTGCCATCCTAGACCTAAGTCCTACAAGAACTCCAAGTTTATTCCTAACAGACCACCCTCCTGCTCCAGCCATACAAAGCTATTTGCAGTTCTACCGGCATGACATGCTATATTATGCTCCTTCTGTACCACTGTGGTTTTTAAGAATGCTCTCCAGTCTCTCTCCTCTCCTCCTTCCCTTTAACTGACGTTCTTTGTCTTACTTATCCTTCAAGATGAGCTCAAGTTGGACCTCCCCTGTAAAAATTTCTTTTCCCACTCTCATTCCCCTACTTTGCTTATAAATATATCAAATATTTGTAAATACCTCAAATATAGTTACCATTCAAAACTGTATTTGTTGATGTTTAAGTCGGTGTTCTACTCTGAAAAGCATGGGTTCACCATGAGTTGGAATCAACTGACAGTAACTGGTAACTGGTTAGTCTGTCTTCCTTTCTGAACTGTAAGCTCCTTAAAGGCATATATTATTTATTATTGCCAGCTCCTAACAAAACTATTTCACTTACGTAAACCCTTGTTCCTTCTGCAAAATGGGGACAAAAAATCCACTCTGCAGAATTACTGTGAGGATCAGAGCTACTGTATGCATCGAACAGAAGCTAGAACAAAGTTGGTGCTCATTAAATAATGGGTGCTATTATTACTCATGAAAATAAGTGGATCAGAAAGCATTTCATGAAGAGGGGGATTATATTGACAACCGAAACATGCATGTTGCCATGGAGGAACTGCAAGTAGCTCAGTGGGTAGAAATCAGGGTGAATATTAAGAAATGATGGGAGATAAGGTTGTACGATTATAAACAGATCCCAAACCGCCTTGGATAACCTGCTAAAGAGTTTGATCTGGTAATCACTCCCTTCCTTAGCTCTTTTAGGCCTAGCGATACAAAGCTGCTGATTTACTTTAAACGTCAAGAGGCATGGTAAGATTTTTATTTTTCATACCAATCTGGCAGCATTGTAAATAAGCTTAGGAAAGAAGGAAAAATACTTAGGAATTTGATGTAATAAATTAGATGTAAAATTATGAGGGCCTGAAATAGCACAGATAGAAAGGGGCAAAATTACTTAAAAAATATAGGTAAGAGTTGGTAATTATTTGGATGTTGTGAGTGAAGGAATTCTTAAACTGCTGAAGTCTTCTAGGTTTAAGATTTGGACATAACTAGGAGAAGCAGGTGGAGGGGTTATCAAGGGAAAAATTCACTTAAGGACATATTGAGTCTGAGGTATCCATTGGTCCCTCAGGATAAACTTCAGGACATAGTCTGAAATAGGAGTCTAGAGCTTAGACCAGATCAGAGCTGTAGTGATACATCCAGATAGAAGTGCTCTAGAGAGAGAATGGAGCCCTGGTGGTGTAGTGGTTAAGATCTCGGCTGCTAACCAAAAGGTCAGCAGTTCGAATCCACCAGCCGCTCCTTCAAAACCCTATCTGGCAGTTCTACTCTGTCCTACAGGGTTGCTATGAGTAAGGAAAAACCAACAATTTGGGAACTAAAAAAGGTGAGCATAGCAGTTCTCTGGGAGGTAGGAGAAAAATGGGAGTCAAATTAAGAGAATTCAAGAGAAGACTAGTCAAAAACATTAAATACAGTGAAAAGGTCACATAAGATGAACTGAAGTAACCAATGGATTTGGTATTTGTTACCTTACCACTGAGTTGAAATAGTGTGTGAAGTAATGGTGATGGTTTTGCCATTGAGAGTGACAGAATATAAAATAAATGAGCTTAACTAGACTTTAAGGGTTTACATTTTAATACTATTCATTTGAATCAGATGAAATGTAAAATTTTATCTATTTTCATCCCACTCTAGAGCAGACTTGTTAAGTTCAGCAGTCAAGAGGCTCACTACTTCTAGCACGAAACTCATGAACAAATGCTGTCATCTGTCATATCCTTTTCGGGAGCGGGAAAAGGGAGGACCTACCACATGTTATTTCCGCCTTTCCTGGAGCCCAGCCATCCACCACCATAGTCTGGTAATAACACCAACTTGAAGGGTGAAGCCTTTCAGTCACCCTCACCTCTCAAATTCCCAGAGTACCGTTATCCTACAACCAAACCACAGCTGAAACTTTCCTGTGGTAACCACCAACCACCACATACTGAACCTCCAGGACAAGCATGCTACTAGCCGACAGAGGAGAATCCACCACCCAACCACTCCTTGCCTTGCACTGGCGGGGTGTTTGGCGGGTGCGGCGGGAGACTGCTGCTACTGCTCCTGTCGCCCACCACGCCAGAAGTGCCGGGAGGAGAGGACGCAGAGACGGCCTGAGCGGACGGGCGGCTCTGAGGAGTCTCCTGGAGTCGAAAACTGAAGCGGGGACCCTGTAGCCGAGCCTCTATTGATGAGGGAGATACCACAGGCACGGAAGGCAAGGTTGGCGAGGTCTCAGGCCTCAGCATCTTCCCAAACTTTCCCGCGCACAAGTTTGAGTTTCTATGGGCCCCCTCACGCAGCCGCCCAGCAGAAGCGGGGCTGAAACAGGCGGGAGAGCGGCGTGCAGGCGCACGGAGCCCTAGAGCGCAGGCGCAAGGAAACCTACCTTCGCACGTCAACTCCTTTCTCCCAATTCACATCTAAGAACGTGTTCCCGGCCCTACCAAATCCCATCACCTTCCGTCAAAAAAGTTTGTTATAAACTTAAGAGCATGCCCTCCTGAACCTATTATCAGCCTTAATTTTTCTGGGCCCATTAATGACCAACCAATTTGGCAGCCCATTATTCTCATAAAACTCAAACCAAACCCGTTGCCGTGGAGTTGATTCTGACTCCTAGGGACCCTATGGGACAGAGCAGAACTGCTCCACAGGGTTCCCAAGGAGCAGCTGGTGGATTCAAAGTGCTGACCTTTTGAGTTCCCTGCGGAGCTCTTAACCACTGCGCCACCAGGGTATTCTCATAGCACCCTATTTTTACAAGGTGTTTTGCACTTTTTAACATATCCCATCAACCCCAAAGTACACTAGCTTCTTTTTAAATGTAGCTGTCCATCACTGTGCATCGTGCCTCTGACAGTTAAAAAAAACAAACGTAATGCTAAACGAGTAATTTCTTTTGTAAGGATCAGCACAAAGCTGGTTCCTATGAGGCAGAGGTTAAAGATGTCCCAAATGTCTAACTTTTCCAAGCTGCCATACCACTCCATCACCTCTAACATCAACTACTCCCTCTTGCCTCAGGATTCTCCCTCCTGTCTTTGGGTTCCCTAATTCACTGCAATGTCTCACAGATCTCACAAATCCTATACAGGTAATAGCTCACACGGTTGTGGAGGTTGTTAAGTCCCAAATTCGTGGCCCCTCAGTTTCTGCCCAAAGGCAGGCACTCAGCTTCCTCACTCGGTGGGCCAGAAAGCCTACTGTGCCTCCTGCAGGTCTCTTTCCTTGGTGGTGGTGGGCTCTTCTTTTTCCCACCTCTGGGGTGGCTCATTTCAAGCCTAGCGAGATAGCAAAACTGACCAATCCCCTTGGTGAGCCACAATTACCCTATCACACAGTCCAGCCCAATCACCTAGGTGGGAGTTACAAGCCTATGGCTAGAAAGGCCACACAAAAATCAACCCATCACACCACAAATGCTCACACTTTAGTCCAATCCACCTAACACTGATCTTGCACTTAATACAGAAGTCATTAACCACTTACAGCTTAAATGCCCACAAGGATATGTATAGTGCCCTTCACTCCAGTATGTACGTGGCTGTATGTCAGGAACAAGGAAATGATTATTTCTTGGACGGTTTTAAGTGCAGTTCCCAGTCTCCCAATATCTAGTAGTCATGCCCTGCTAACATCCATTCATGCAATGTCTGATTGCATATACATCTGCGGTCTCATAAGGTTATACAGATATTCCCCGGATTACGAACAAACCATAATTACAAACCAAAACACGTAAAGCCTATTAAAAATTTGAGGTACGATGGCTTGTGATTATAGACACTACTTTGTGTCATTTATAAAAACATTACTGTATCATGTTAAAGACGTTTTAGTGTATCTGGAAGTATTAAGTTTTTTATGATTAGCAAGGTACACTACACTAAGACAAACATTTGACTGACATTAGATACGAACCATACCTGTTTCACCTTACATACAAATTCAATTTACAGACTCAGGCCCAGAAATTGTAACCCGGGGACTGACTGTATATAACGTGTTCACACAAGGTCCAAATCACAAAGCATCCCATTTTCACAGAACACATGCTAGACGTTAAGCGATGAATGACTGTACTATTTCACACACGGAAGTATTAGTATTGAGAGCAGATTCCAACCAAGCCTGGCTCTGGTAGATTGTAATCTTTGGGAAATTGAATTCTGTATCCAATAGCAGTTTCAACCTTATAGGAATGTTGGGATTGAAGAAATACAAGTACTTTAGTTACTGCTATGCAGATCATATTACATTTAAAATACCAACAAAGTGGTGATGATTGCTTATGAAGAACGTAAAGTCACGTAACTGTAAATGTGAAATGGATATGGCAACTATTCTCTTACACAGTGAAATCTGGAAAGCTGGTACTTGGCAGGACTGCCTTGTTTTTCTGGGCTCACAAGTGTTCCACTTTTGACAAGGTAGGGTCTTACCACTTTTCTATCACTATTGGTGGAAAATAATTTGTTTTCCTTCTCTGACAGGTTTCCACCTTACTGATGTCCTTTCACAGGTTTTACTGTATATACTTTTAACAAGAAAAAACACTAGCAAATTCATTCACTTGTTCAATATTCTCATAAAAGTCAGGTAGGCACAGAACTGCTCATCCATAGCAGGCAAATGCAATGACTCCAGTCCTCAAGATAGCTAGTTCTAACCAGCTGACAATGCCAAATGAGACCCCATGTGTCAGAACAGAACTGTGCTCCACAGGGTTTTCAATTACTGATTTTTTTGCAAGTAGATTTTTTTGAAAGCCAGGCCTTTCATGACCAAGGCACCTCTGGGTGGAACCTCCAACCTTCTGGTAACTGCATTACCCAGGAACTCTCTTCGAATACTTCCACAAACATTTAAATAAGATTGTTCTATCCAATGACTTCCAAGCTGTTAAAATTTACCTTCTGTCAATGTGTTCTGCTGAGCCACCAGCACTCATCAAGTAAAATTAAAATAACTATTACAAAGGGTAATGCAAATGTTTAAGATAGGAATCTCCATCTTAAGAATTAAAATACTTTATTAAAAACGGCTAGAATGGTTCTGTTCGTTGAAGTCTTTTTAAAAATAACAAAAAATATCCAAGCTCAAATTCAAAATCATCAGCAACTTCCAATTTATCTGTCACAAGATTTCCTTATTGGAATAAATCCAGGTCAACAATCCCTGGAGTAAATTATAGGCATTTTGACAAAGTATTAAAAACTGACAATAAGTGCAGTCCAAATTGGAATCCTATCCAAAGCCGCCATTCACCTATTTTGTGGCCTATTCAGAGTAACCATCATCACATTCAAACCTTTAAAATATCCCCAAATTACACAAGCCGTTTATTTATGTGCAACTTTTAATGGTTCACTCCATGGTATTAATCTATTGTTTACAAGTAACATTCTTGTTGACACAAACCAAGCTTTATACACTTTCTGAAGAGAACACCTGGAGAAGAATCAAACAGACCTTCAAAACTGCCCCTAAGAGTTCTTAGAAGTTTGCTCTATTACAGACTTATGAACAAAAATACAACAAAGCATAAGAAAAAGTTTAATCACTGATGACTAACACTGACAGCATTAAAAAATAAATACAACAAATTATCTTCAGAATTCATTATACTCACAGCATATCAGGAAAAATCTGTAACTAAAGATAGAAAAGGTCTTTATTTTAAATTATGTATAATTACAGAATTAATTTATCACAATACATATACAAAATATTAACAAATTTAAAGTACTCATTTTTAAGTCTGACAAGCACTTCAAATACATAAATAACTACTGAGCAAATTTTCCATTAATGACTAGCTCACTAGTTCAGGCTGAACATTCATCCTCCGAAGCACTTCTTCAGGCATACAAAAAACAGGATTAACAGGTTTAATCTGTTCTTCTCCCAAAAGTGATAGTCCAGCAATTCCAAATAAAGTATGAAAAGGATCTACCTATTAAGAAAAAATCAGTTCATATGCATTATTGGAAAAATGACAATTTCCTTAGTTACTATGACTGCCTAACGCCATTGCTGTCTACGTATCTTTTTTCTTTAGGCCTGAATTCCTGGATTCTACAGGCCCGGTGGCGCAATGGATAAGAGCTGCGCTGCTAACCAAAAGGTCGGCAGTTCAAATCCACCAGCCGCTCCTTGGATTGTTCCACTCTGTCCTATAAGATCACTATGAGTCGGAACCGACTTGGAGGCACATAACAACATTTTAGGCATTCCTAGTGACCTATAATTTCCCATCATGGCAATCACAGTACTGAAAATGCTCCATCAAAAAAAGACTGGCCACTCTGTATGGGTAGTATCTAGCAGTGTCTGGTCCACACAAATTTAAGGAAGGTTATGGAAATTTACCAAAAATGCCTCTATTTAAACTGATGTTCTTATTTTACACCATTCTATCAATATGGTCTCAACAAAACCTTTTTTCACTATCAAACTCACTGTGCACAAGCAACCAAGCCCACACCTCAATTCAGTAGCTTTTATATAGGAATGCTTCCAGCTGCTTCTCTATAATTCATAACATCTCTTCATCAGTTTATGTGCATGCTTAAAAATTTCCAAAATTGTGGTGCTTAATATAGGACCTAAACTCACTAATGCTGGCAATAGCTGATGAGAAATTTCTGTAAACTTTATACATCAAAAAAAAGAAAAAAAAAAAAAAAAAAACTAAGAAAAAAAGATCCTGCTTTTGAAATGATATACTGTGTCACTTTCAAAGGAACACTTGGAATACAACCCACGTCTAAGTCTGGAAATGCCAAGAACCATAGAAGATAATGCAACCTAACACGCAAAAAAACTATGGTGTACATGAACGTCCTTGATATACTTACCATATCTCCTGGCCTGTCTGCAAATCCCCCCGTTTCTTCATCTTGACATGCTAAAATGAAACTACGCAGTTTCTCTCTGTCAATCCAATGAAGCCTTCCAATTATCTTTAGGGAAGCCAACACCCACCAGGAATAGCACACATCTGGTAACTAGGAAAAAAGACAACACAGTTGCCACCATTTTATTCTCTATTATTTCTCGATAATTGTGAGGAACAATTTACAACAAGTGGGTTGCCTCAAGCTCTAAAGTAATCTGATGTTCAACAGGAGAGGAATATTCTGACATGCAGGGTTTGAAATGCTGAAATCTATAAAATATAATTGCTTGGAATTAAAGATCCAATCCACAGATACCTATGCTAAATGTTTGCATTACCAAATACTGAACAAGGATCCATCTACACTTTATCTCTGCTAGTGACATGAAAACCATATGAAATTGAAATGTGTCTAACTTTACTGGAATACAGTCAGGCCCATTTTTTTTTTTTTATAGCTGCTTTTGTTCTACATTGTAGTTATGTGGTGCTGTTTGGACCACAGAGCCAAAAATATTTACTAACTGTCTCTTTACAGACCCCTTATTAGGGCGACAGAGCATGATGTGGGAGATCTAAAACCAGTACCATGAAGGCTTCTAGAAGAAAATTTCTGTACAAAATGCTTATTTCCACAGTCTTTGGTCACCAAGTACAAAGCTTTTTATGCATGACTGACTCTCTGGTATGGTCCAGAGCTAAAAGGTTCTAATTCATTAAAAAAAAAAGTTTAATTCATACAATTCCTGCATACAAGTATTTTAAGCTAATAAGAGTATTTGGTATTTCTATACTATTCAACTGTAGGTTCATTCTCCTGCAGATAACCCTGAAGTCCTAATGTCTACTTTAGGATATAAAAGAGGAAAAGACAAATATTTAAAAAGTCAGATGGTATTATGCACACTTTCTCTTCATCTTAAAATGGACATCTAGGATTATTCAACCCTAGGTGCTCTACTTTTATAAAGATCAGTCTTTTTAAGAGCTATCAGTGAAAAATAAGAGGTGAGGATAAAATCTTCATGTTCAATTGACAAGTAAAATATTTAAACATGCAGAACAAAGAACGGTATTAATTCAAGGTTATAAAGCTAGTACAGTTTATCTTAAAACTAAACATACCTTCTCTGGTCTTCCATTAAGTCCACCTGATGGTAACTGTCGTTCACAAAGCCACCAACCGAGTAAATCAGAATTTACTTGATGCAACTGACTAGTAATAGCAAGGAATCCTGTGCAACAATAGATCTAAAATTACAGATATAAAGTATACATGTATAAAAACTATTTTAACTTTTCAAAAGTAAAATTCCACTTTCTAATGATTTTTGCTTTTTGATCTGTCAACTAAAACATTTAGTTTCAAACATTTCACACCACCTTAGCTACTTGAAGACACCTAGTCATATTATTGCTAGGTTCAAATTCTGCGATGAAATACTGTCAAAATTTCTCACATTTTATTTTCTCCATCACATCAAGCAAATAGGTGTTCATTTAGCTTGGGGTAGGGACAGAATGTTTCAATCTACATAGCTAGTTAAAAACTAACAGGAAATAAAATGCTATTTTTGGTGACTACAACGTTATTTGTCATGTTTGCCTGGTCAGAGGATTCCACTAAGGGGAAGGTGAAGGTATGTAAGGCCAACTACTTACAACTTATTACAAACAACTTATTGATCAGCAATTAGCAATTCTTACACATAATCTCACATTATATACCCAATTACATTACATTCAGTTAAATCAACTTAATACATATTGCAGGCTTAAACTACTATGTACATATTTTTAATGTTTACTATACTGGTTCTCTTCAAAATTGATGCTAAACTTTAATCTGCATTATTAATAAGTTACCTGCCCAGCATGGGATTCAGAACCTGGTCTGCAACCAAATCCACCATCGAAGTTCATACACGACAAAACAAATTCAATTGCCTTTTCCACATTAATAGCATCCAGCTTCCCCTACAAACAGAAAAATATGCCTATTAAATCCCACAGTATTCACCTGTGCTTGAACATTCCAATACAACATTGGAAACTTACCAACAGAGACAATGTTGCCACTGCACAAAAAGAAAATCTTGTATCGATTTCTCCTAAAAGGACCAAAACAAAGTAAAGTATTATATTCAGTTACACTTAACTAAACCTTCATTTTTGTTAAGATTCACGTATTTTCCAGGTCTCAGAATAATTCTAGAGCTAAAATAATAATAATCAACTTTAGGTTCAGAATACATGCCAACTCATCATCGACCCAAAAAAAGCAGAGGCTTCTGACTATACAGTGCAACTAAAATCATCAAAATCTGTACAACTACACAAGTATCATGTCAAGTTTCTCCAAGAGTTCAAGATTAACTTTTACATATTAGATAGTGAGGAAGAAAAGCAAGCTAAATCTGAAGTTAAATTACTTTACTTCTAAGAACTAGAAAATCGGGTTTGTCACAAACAGAGCAAATTAACCTGAGTTGCTTATGGAGTGCTCGGTAAGGGAAGAAAATTAACAGAGACAGAACTAAAAGTACCAGTGAAGTTTTAATGCCATTACACTTACCTTGTCTCATAAAACTAGATTTTCACATCCCATGAAGCAGCTGGTCTCTCCGGCCTACACTATGTGTAGCACTAAAGCAGAGACCATCTACATTTATCAAGTAAAACTCTACTCCCTCCCTCCATTCAAATATTCAGTAAGTTTGTAAAGTTTTTTTGAATATTGTTCTGTTTCCAATATTAAAATAACTTTACAAAGCTACCAAATATTGGGAGGAAAAAACTTCACCTACCTTATCTTTTAGACTGGCCCCCTCTGTTCCAATGTTCCTGTATGCTGATACAACTACCACAGTGCATGCTGGAACTTCCAGCAGACCAGTTAACTCCCATTAGACCAGCTGCTTAGTGGGACCTGAAAAGATGAAAAACTTAAAAAATAAAATTTCAGTTTCTACTAACACATTTAGACACAGGAGCTTTGTTCCATTATCTCCTCATAAAATGATTACTAGCAAAGCTTCAATTCACTGCACTTTAAAAAATCATCATCTGCCAAGAACTAAATTAGCATTTAATCTCAGTCAAAAAGACTTTGCAGCAAAGCTGAGTCCTAGAATACACAAAAAGACACACTAATATTGGTATTTTAGGATCATGAACTTAATTTTGACATTACCCCAAATATCTCCAGCAAAAGAACCATCTTCTTTCTGCAGACTCTGAACATATTCCACAACTTTATTTACATCAATAGCATTAATACTATCATACAGAGTAAGAATCTGCAACAAAAATAACCCATATTAAGTAAATTTATCTCTTCAAAATTGCTAAACGTGTTCTAATGCTATTCTTGCTCAACTTCTACATCTTAAATTACCAAACAAGCATTATCTTTTGTCTATGTACGACATAAAGTTTTCTCAAATATGCAGAAAACCCTCTATGATGCCAATAATAAAATTTTTTATGTCGTTACAAAACAACCCAAACCTTAAAACTCAAAGCATTATTTTTCTACATCTAAATTTTAAACTTGGCATTCCAGGATACTGTTATATATACTAACAAAATATACACAAGTAGACTTTAAACCCAAATGTTTACAGATCCTCACTAGTATCAAACTTGAAACACGTAACTCCATCTAGTAATTTTCAGGTATTAGATACCCTCCAAGGTCTCAGTGTAATTCTAGAGCTTGTTGATACACATCAACTTCCGATTCAGCTAATACATGCCATCACATCATTGACCTTGTAGGTTAGACTTCATCTGAAAAGATTACATGACTTTTGTCATCATCCCACCAAGTTTCAATTTCCCCACTTTCAGGTTAGAACACACTACACCAAGACTGAATTTTTATTATTATTTACCTGGACAGCACTAAGAGTGTACAAAAGATGAGGATCATGTCCAATACTAGCACTTATTCCACCGGACTCATGCTGACATGACTTAATAAACGTCAGTATTTCTTCTCTATTCATGCGATGAAGCTGTCCCATGAGATCCATTACTGTCAGACCCCAATAGATGCCACTCATTCTCAAATACTCAGACATACAGTATTCCTAAAGCACACATTGAAAACAAAACATGGTGATGCACTAGTAAACTCATTTCCACGTACTTACAAAATTGATTAGTATTAAAGAAATTCAACACAAGCTAACTACCACACTGCTGTTTTTTCCTTTACATGATCCTAACATAGTGTGTTTATATTTGTGGCTCTAAAATTTAGGTGTCATTTTCAAACACAATCTATTAATCAAAAAAACAAGTATTAGCTGAGAAGGATGTGATAAACAAATTTATCTGTGGCTGACAATTTGTCCAAAGAGTTTGCTTTCTCCCCAGAGCCAACTACAGATGAAGTCAGTTTAATTCTGTTTGGAAAGAAAACGTACATACAGATTTAACAGATGTCCATTCTTCTATTATCTGGACTCTGTACACAACCTATTATCTATTTGTAAATTACATACTTACCTTCCTGGAAACCAAAATGACCAATGCAGGCAAGACAACTTTTTAAGCCAAGGTAATAGAGGGTAAGACAAGGAGACATGAAAATTTCAACAGTCCAGAAATTTTTGCTGCAGTCATCAATGCAATGCATTTTGGAGGTTTTGAATCATGCTGGTTTCTTAGTAGCATTAGTGGTGCCGTGGTTCAAGTGCTCAACTGCTACAGAAAAGTTCAGTGGTCCAATCCATCAGCTGCTCCATGGGAGATGTGACAGCCTGCTTCTGTAAAGATTTACAGCCTTGGAAACCCTATGGGGTAGTTCTACCCTGTCCTATAGGGTTGCTTGCTATGAGGCGGAATCGACTATATGGTAATCGGTTTGGGTTTCTTAGTTTGCTGCCAGCCCTAAAACTGGGTTTTGATTTAGAAAATAGTATTAGAGTTATTATTCCGTGTCCTTGAGCATAGAGAATCTGACCCAGCTGGAGCTGGGCTCTCAAGGACACATCAACTGGGCCCTGAGGTATAAAGACAATAGCTAAAATAATCTTGGAAAAGTATCTTTTAGGGAACCTTTCACATAAACAATTCAAACAGAACACAGAAGACTTTCCACTTTTTCTATTAGCATTTAGTGAATAGAAAATTTGTTCGACCAATGAGGACCCTCCTGACTGTCATTACTGAAACTTGTATCAATGATTGTTAAGACAATACATAATGTAGGATCACAATTTCTAGCCTATCTGTGAAAAGGTAAAGCTTTCAATGGTTCTGCCTATTTGTAATGTTAATAATATATACTGATGGCTCCATAAAGTTCCTCGGACTCAGGCAGACAAGGCTGCGGCTTATCCACTTCCCACTTTTGCCTTTTTGAATATATGCCAGATAAAACTTTCTTTTTGCCTTACTAAACTTTGATGTTTTTCCCCTACAACAGGTTTAGAGAAGTGGGGGAGGGTGAGTGGGAGTGAATAAAAGGCAGGAGAATGTCAAGCCCTGGCCCTTTAATTATCTGTGAAAAAAAGCACACATATCCGTAACTCCATGAATTGGTACTAAATAGTTATTAACTGCAAGGTTGGAGGGAACAACCTAAAGCCCTAAGTCTGGAATTCACCAATACTGGATGTTCCCAAAGACGGCAGGGAAGATAAGTCAACTGTTTGCACAGTAGGGGGTTAGGAAAGAGTATTTACTTCCAGCTGGGTTTATTACTTTTAAGTTTGTCCCAGAGAAGACTATTCTTCACAGTAATATTTTACAGTAAAACTTTTTCAAGGTCTCAGCGTAATTCTAGAGCTAAATGTTATTACACATCAGCAGTAAATTCAGATAATACATGCCAACACATCACTGACCTTAAAAGTTATTACTGTAACTACAAAACTAGCCACTATTCAAGGGCTGAACACACTCACAAATCTGGGCAGAAAGGGAACTCTGTCTGCCAAGGTATTGCTAAGAATCAGGGCCAAATTTGATGCATATGAAGCCTGAACCTCAGACACCCAATGTACACACACTGCACTTTGAAGCCAAGGGCACATGGGTCCTGAGAACGCAGGAGTTGGACATCATAATCTGGCCGCTGCCATACTCATTAGCTATGCAGAGTAGCTTCACTTCCTTAAACTTCTCAAAGTAAAATAATACATACATAATCATCTTTCTTTGAGCCATAGGACGCTATGTAATCTGCATGTTTTTCCAACAATAGGGTGTCCGGTGCATCTGACTTGATAACAACATCCTTCTGTGGTGTGCCCTTTCAAAATATTAAAAACAGCAATCATTTCATAAATATTAAATCTTTTATTAATGTTATGTTCCATAGCAGATATTCTACAAACATCTGAAGTTTTTACTTCGATATCATCTTCTCATGGAAATTTTTAACTTAAAAATTGCCAATATAACAGCAAAAAAGAACTATCAGCACTAAAGCTCCATCTTAGTTACAATTCAGCTATTTTCCAGGTCTCAGAGTAATTCTAGAGCTAAAGCAGCAATAATCAACTTTAAATTCAGAATACATGCCAACTCATCATCGACCCAAAAAATTTAACTGCATCTGTGTTGCTGATAATCTTTCACTTAAGGAGGACAGTAAAATGCCATAGAATCCCAAAGCTTAATAATTCTGGACAATTTACAGTGCACCTGTGGCAGACAAGCAAACTATATATATACAGAGCACGTAACTTGCAAGTTAGGTTCAACTATAATTCCGTTTAGAGGTAAATCCTAGAAACTGGTTTCCAAGCACCTTCTCTGCACCCCAAAAGCTACCCTCTTGAGCTCAGTATTCTCTGCATTTAAAAAAGCCCCCAGGTAACGCAGATGCTGCTCTACCAGTCTGCATTTCTTACGTATACTTTGGGGAAAATTACAAAAAAAAGACAAAATTGAAAATTTCCTTCGGATGCCATTTAAAATTTTTAACTACATCTCCAAAAGAAACGACTAATTAAATTTTTCTTTAACCTTTAACGGAGATTAATAAGGCCGTTAAATACTAAGCAGCCCGCCCACCAGAAAAGTCTGTATGAGAAATGGAACTGCGCCCGCGAGGTCTGCAGAGAAACGCTGAGTAATAATCCCAACACCCGCGTCCTCAAGAAACCTCCCAAAGCCCATGTTTTAACCCAACAATATTCTCCAATTTTTACTAAACAACCCTACGGTGTTCGAGCTGCCCAATAATACCTTCCCCAGCCTCCTCCCCAACGAAACGGTCAACACTACCGCACTCACCATGTCTGAAAAAGAAAAGAGAGAGTCTTAGCGGTTCCTGGGTAGAGTTAGGCAACGTGCGCCTGCGCAGAAGCGCACCTCAGGCCCCCTCCCCGCCCAGGCGTAGTAGACCACACTCCCGCCTGAAGGACGGAGCAGTTGCATGGCCGCCGTAGGACCCCACTGGCTGTTTATAGGTGTCTTCGCTGCCTGCAGCCCAAGTTTGTAACGCCCTTTTTCTGCTTGGAGGTTTTCTGTGTTACAGTCGCTTTCAATTTGTCTAAAATGGTTTTAAATAATATGTAAACATATGCGTTGCTTTTAAGAAATTATTTGTTCTCGAGGCTCTTTGAACTCGGGAGATCTGAAATGGCCAGTAATTAATATAGTAGTGCTTGTCACGTAGGAAGTGTTAAATAAGTATGGTTTGAATAAATGCTAATGAAATAGTCACATTTCCTTCCTTTTTGACCCTGTTCTTTTCAGGTCCAGTGCACTACCCCTCTCGCCCACTTTCTTAGAAGTGCTAATAGTTGAAACATTTGTAAATTACCTTAGAAAAAAACACTCAGGTGCCTGGATGTTTTGTACACTTTTATGAGCTTTCCACAGAATTCAGATTTGCTAGCTGTAATGCACCTACAGTTCTTTTCATTTGTGCCTTCCTTAAGTCTTTCACACTCAACAAGCATTTTTGAGAACCCTAAGAAAATATGGCACCCCATCCGGGTAAATTGATAGCTTTTAGGTAGAATTTAGAGATGGGTAATTCTCACACTGTCAGTGAAAACGTTATGGAAAGCAGCAGAACATTGTCTGATATAGTTCTGGAAAATGGGCACCTCAGGTTGGAAGGCACTCAAAAGATAACTGGGGAAGAGCTGCCTCCTCAAAAGTAGAGTCAACCTTAATGACGTGGATAGAGTAAAACTTTCGAGATCTTCATTTGCTGATATGGCACGACTCAAAATGAGAAGAAACAGCTGCAAACATCCATTAATAATTGGAACATGGAATATATGAAATATGAACCTAGGAAAATTGGAAGTCATCAAAAATGAAGTGGAATGCATAAAGGTTGATATCCTAGGCATTAGTGAGCTGAAATGGACTGGTATTGGCCATTTTGAATCAGACAATCGTATGGTCTACTAAGCCGACAATGACAGATTGAAGACGAACAGTGTCACATTCATTGTGAAAAACCTGAAATGTAATGCTGTCAGTGATAGGATAACATCTATACGTCTACAGGGACGACCAGTTAATACGACTATTATTCAAACGTACCCACCCACCACTAATGCCAAAGATGAAGAAATTTAAGATTTTTACCGACTTCTGCAGTCTGAAATCGATCAAACATGCAATCAAGATGCATTGATAATTACTGGTGATTGCAATGAGAAAGATAGAAACAAAGAAGAAAGATTGGTACTTGGAAAATATGGCCTTGGTGATAGAAATAACAGTGGCAATCCCATGATGGAATTTTGCAAGACCAATGACTTATTCATTCGAAATACCTTTTCTCAATAACACAAACGACAGCTATACATGTGGACCTCATCAGATGGAATACAAAGGAATCGAATTGACTACGTCTGTGGAAAGAGACAATGGAAAAGCTCAATATCATCAGTCAGAACAAGGCCAGGGGCTGACTGTAGAACAGACCATCAATTGTTCATATGCAAGTTCAAGATGAAGCTGAAGAGAGTTAGAACAAGTTCACGAGAGCCAAAGTACAACCCTGAGAATATCCCACTTGAATTTAGAGACCATCTAAAGAATCGGTTTGATGCGTTGAGCTCTAATGACCGAAGAAGACCAGAGGAGTTGTGGGATGACATCAAAGACATCATACATGAAGAAAGCAACAGGTCATTAAAAAGATAGGGAAAAAAAAGACCAAAAGGGATGTCATAGTGACTCTGAAACTTGCTCTTGAAAGTAGAGTAGCTAAACTGAATGGAAGAAATGATCAAGTAAGAGAGCTAAACAGAAGATTTCAAAGGGCAGCTCGAGAAGACAAAGTAACGTATTCTGATGAAATGTGCAAAGACCTGGAATTAGAAAACCAAAAAGGAAGAACACTTGGCATTTCTCAAGCTGAACTGAAGAAAAAATTCAAGCCTTGAGTTGCAATATTGAAAGATTTTATGGGCAAAAAATTGAACGATGCAAGAAGTATCAAGAGAAGATGGAAGGAATACAGAGTCACTGTACCAAAAATAATTGGTCGATGTTCAGTCATTTCAGGAGGTAGCAGATGATCAAGAACCAATGGTACTGAAGGAACAAATTCAAAGTGCACTGAAGGCATTGACAAAAAACAAGGCTCCAGGAATTGACAGAATACCAACTGAGATGTTTCAACAAACAGATGAAAGACTGGAGGTGCTCACTCATCTATGCCAAGAAATTTGGAAGACAGCTACCTGGCCAACCAACTGGAAGAGATCTATATTTGTGCCCATTCCAAAACAAGGTGACCCAACAGAATCAGAAATTATCGAACAATATCATTAGCATCACACACAGGTAAAATTTTGCTCAAGATATTTCAAAAAAGGTTGCAGCAGTACATCGACAGGGATCTGCCAGAGATTCAAGCCGGATTCATAAGGACGTGAAACAAGGGATATCATTGCTGATATCAGGCAGGTCTTGTCTTAAAGCAGAGAATACCAGAAAGATGTTTACCTGTATTTTATTGACTATGCAAAGGCATTTGACTGTGTGGATCATAACAAAATTATGGATAACATTGGGAAGAATGGGAATTCAAGAACATTTAATTGTGCTCATGAGGAACCTGTACACAGATCAACAGGCAGACATTCAAACAGAACAAGGGATACTGCATAGTTGAAAGTCAGGAAAGGTGTGCATCAGAGTTGTATCATTTCACCATACTTATTCAATGTCTATGCTAAACAAATAATCTGAGAAACTGGACTATATGAAGAAGCATGTGGCATCAGGATTGGAGGAAGACTCATTAAGATCCAGCGACATGCAGATGACACAACCTCGCTTGCTGAAAGTGACGAGGACTTGAAACACATACTGATGAAGATCAAAGACAACAGCCTTCAGTATGAGTTACACCTCAGCATAAAGAAAACAAAAATATTCACAACTCGTAAGCAACGTTATGATAAAAAAAGAAAATATTGAAGTTGTCAAGGATTTCATTTTACTTGGATCCACAATCAATGTCCATGGAAGCAGTAGTCAGGACATCAAACAATGTATTGCATTGGGAAAATTGGCTGCAAAGACATTTTTAAAGTATTAAAAAAGCAAAGATGTCGCTTTGAGGACTAAGGTGCGCCTGAGCCAAGCCATGGTAATTTCAGTCTCTCATATGCATGCAAAAGCTGCACAATAAATAAGGAAGACTGAAGAATTGATGCCTTTGAATTATGGTGTTGGCGAAGAATAATGAATATAAGAATAATGAACAATGAATGTGTCTTCCAAATTTCCTGCCAAAAGAACAAACAAATCTGTCTTGAAAGGAGTACAGCCAGAATGCTCCTTGGAAGCAAGGATGGTGAGACTTCATCTCATTGTTAGATTTTCTCATTTATACTTTGGGGCTACTTTACTAAGTGCATATAAGTTTAGAATTGTTACCTATTTCTGTTGAGTTGAACCTTTTATCATTAAGTGATGAACTTCTGTAGCTCTCTAATAATGCTTTTTATCTTAAGAAACCTACTTTGTTAAATATTAATGCAATTTCCCCAGTTTTCTGTTGGTTAATATTTAACCTGGTAGGGATTTTTTCAGCTTTTTACTTTCAACCTTTTTGCCCTTATGTTTTACAGGTGTCTCTTAAAAACAGCATATGACTGATTTTATGTCTGCTTTCTGTCTTTTAACAAGTAACATCAGTCCATTTACATGTACTGTGATTATTTATTTATTTGGATTTGTTTCTATTACCTTACTGTTAGCTCTCTATTTTTTTATGCTTTTTATTTTTTGGGCCTTTCTTGCCTTCAAAAAATTATATGTGTGCTTTAATTATCTGTTTCCTTTTTCCATTATTTTCAATTTTGGTTTAGAAGTTACAAACTCTGTTATATTAGTGACTGCCTTGAAGTTTGACCTTCCTTACATAACAGTATCTAAAGTTAATATCCTAACCAGCCTTCCTAACAGTACAGGAACCTTAGAACACTCTAGTCACTATCCTCCTACTTGTTCTCTAGTATTTTATTTCTGTTCTTTTTTTTTTTTTATTGTTTATTGTTGTGCTTTAAGTGAAAGTTTGCAATTCAAGTTAGTCTCTCATACAAAAATTTATACATACATTGCTTTGTGACCCTAGTTGCTTTCCCTGTACCGTGACAGCACACTCTTCCTTTCCACCCCAGATTTCCCGTGTCCATTCAACCAGCTCCTGACCTTCTCTGCCTTCTCATCTTGCCTTTGGACAGAAGCTGCCCATTTAGTCTCATGTATCTACTTGAGCTAAGAAGCACACTCTTCATGAGTATCATTTTATGTCCCATAGTCCAATCTAATCTTTGTCTGAATAGTTGGCCTCAGGAATGGTTTTAGTTTTGGGCTAACAGAGAGTCTGGGGGCCATGTCGTCCAGGGTCCTTTCAGTCTCAATCAAACCATTAAGTCTGGTCTTTTTACTAGAATTTGGTTTCTGCACCCTACTTTTCTCCTGCTCCGTCAGGAACTCTCTGTTGTGTTCCCTGTCAGGGTGGTCATTGTGGTAGCTGGGCACCATCTAGTTCTTCTGGTCTCAGGCTAATACAGTCTGTGGTTTCTGTGGCCCTTTCTGTCTCTTGGGCTAATACTTCCCTTGTGACTTTGGTGGTCTTCATACTCCTTTACTCCAGGTGGGTTGGGACCAATTGATGCATCTTAGATGGCTGCTCACTAGCTTTTAAGACCTCAGACACCACTCACCAAAGTGGGATTCGGAACATTTTCTTAATAAACTTTGTTATGCCAGTTGACCTAGATGTCCCCTAAAAGCACGGTCCCCAGACCTCGACCCCTGCTACTCTGTCCCT